ACATTTTACGTCACACTTTTTCACTTCCGCAATACAATTCCACACCCGTCATAGATAACAATCGCTCTTCATTCAGTTTCGCCTCATCGGACATTCGATCGAAATCGGCGAACTGCAGCCGGAACGCCGGAAGTGTCGGAGTTGAGTTTCGCCGGAATGAGAGGGAGCTCTTTACGACGTCCGGTTATGATCCAGCGGCTCCGGCAAATCGCCGTCACGATCAAGATCAAGCATCTTCTGTGTTGTTGCATTGTACTCGCTTTTGTCCTCTTCGCCACCCGCGCCTCCAATCTCATGGGATGGACTTCCGACGACGACGCTACGGCCCTCCGTTACTCTACGCCGCGGTTTGAATTTTCTTATTTTTGTTTTTTTCTTTCTCCCGCCATTTTAATTATGTTCATTTTTCGGCATGAATTTTTTGCCTCTTTGTTATGTCGTTACGTGAGGTAGTTATGATTTCTTGATCTTGGTGCGTTTGTGTATGTTTAGATGCAAATCAAGATTCTCAAAATCAAATTAGTTGTCGGTTACGGTAATCCTCTAGATTTTTAAAATTGTTCTTGTTTTCAGTCAACATTTTTCAAAGATTTTTGTTCCTTTTAGTGTTATTTATGGAGCATACTTGAGACTTATTATTAAAATGATTAAATCATTCCAAGATCTTTTAAATTTCCAAAGTCATTTGAAAAGATTTAAAATAAATTTAATGTTTCATTTCATACTAGTCGCAATTTTTATATCAATGAAAATAATTTACGAACGATTGAAGGCATATTGAATCCAACAAAAATGAAATTTACTCTCTAAACATACCTTAAATTGGAACTATGGTTCTCCATACAAATTTAATGTTTGATTGTGTAGTGTTGAACAATTTGTAGACATGGATTAGCAATGAGTTATTGTTTGAACATGGAATTGTAGGAAACGTTATGCGATTTTAATGAACACATGGAAGCGGCATGATCTTCTGAAGCAGTCCATATCTCACTACACGACTTGTATGGGAGTTGAGTCGATACATATTGTATGGAGTGAACCCGATCCTCCTCCTGATTCCTTGGTAGCGTTTCTGCAGAGGACGGTGAAGGAGAATTCTCGAAACGATCGAGAGATCAAGTTGAGATTTGAAATGAATAAAGAGGACAGCCTGAACAATAGGTTTAAGGAAATAAAGAATTTAAACACAGACGCCATTTTTTCAGTGGATGATGATGTTATATTTGCGTGTTCTACTCTGGAGTTTGCCTTTACTGTTTGGCAAAGCGCGTCTGAGACTATGGTGGGCTTTGTGCCCCGCATGCATTGGATTGATCAGGCGGTATGTTAATTCCATCTTGCTGCATCATGTTCTTGATGTTTTTAGGTGTAAATGTCGGTGGGTAAAGCGAATGAAGTATGCAGAAATAATTATTAAGTATGAAAACAGGATTAAAAAGTTGAAATGTTTTGGTTAATTTTGTTGATTGGTAATGCAGCAGGAAGAAATGGGGAAATACATATATGGGGGATGGTGGTCAGTATGGTGGACTGGTACATACAGTATGGTGCTTTCAAAAGCTGCCTTTTTCCACTCGAAGTATTTGGGTATTTACACTCACCACATGCCTGCTTCAATCAGAAATTATGTTTCCAAAAACAGGTTCCTTTTCCCCTATTCCTTCAAATGCATTTTCCACTTTCTTTTGTCAAAATTGTCATTCACAGGCTTGAATTTGTATGTTGCAGGAACTGTGAAGACATTGCAATGTCTTTTGTTGTTGCTAATGTGAGTGGTGCACCTCCTGTATGGGTCAAAGGTATGAATGAAATCATCACATTTTAATTAATATAGTTGTAGGTTTTGTAGATAATTATTAAGGTATGAATCCTTTGTGATTTTTATTGGGTGGATCTGGCTGCAGGCAGGATTTATGAAATAGGTTCGGGTGGAATTAGTAGCTTAGGAGGTCATAGTGAAAGAAGAAGCAAATGCGTGAACACGTTTGTTGAAGAATATGGAGGAATGATGCCTTTGGTACGTTCAACTGTCAAGGCTGTTGATAGTCGTCACCTTTGGTTTTGGTAAAACCATCCAATGCAATTCGTAACATACGTCTACTTTGTAATTCGATTCTAATAGTTTTAATCCAATCATTTTTTGGCAATAATATAGCTCCTCTGATACCCAATGGCAATAATATAGCTCCAACCTTCTCTTCAACGGACAATTTTATCAATTGTTTCAAACTCAAACGCAATATTCCATTAATTTTAGGTTTTGATATCGTTTTTAGTTCAATTAATAAATATAAATCATCGACAAATTGAAACGTCTATTATCAACATGAATCTTACGCATTAAAGATACGTGTACGAAAACTAATAGGTACGTTAGCACTTAAGAAACGGATTAAAAAAATGATCAAAAATAAAGAACGAAAACCATAAAAAATCTCAAAATTTAAGCAAATCCATTTGACGAAAACCTAAAATAATTCAGCTGAAAAATACAACTCCGAAAAACATAATGGAAACTCCAATTTGTGAGTCTAAAAGACGCAAAACACAAAAGCTACTATATCTCTAACGTACAGATTAATCAAACAAGCTGAAACCCATGTCGTCGTCAGACTCTTCTGCTGGCTCTTCCTTCTTCTCCTCCACAGCTGCAGCAGCAGCAGGGGCAGCGCCAGAATCAGCAGCAGACACGGCCACAGCGACAGCAAACTTACTAGGATCCTGTACAAGTAAAAAGAACAGCAATTGGTGATTTTGTCATTAGCATTTTAAACCAAGCCAAAGAACATAAAAATGGACAACATACCTCGAGATACTCTTTAACTTTCTCAGCCTGAGGGAAGGAGTAGTCAGTAGCAACTGCAACAGCAAGAAGATTTTTGTATGCATTGATGAGCATGTGTGGTGCAGCAGCCAGAGTTGGGTATGAAACGGCCAAAGACAAGGATGTGACCATGGAAACACCCATTGCAAATTTCTCCAGGAGATCATCCTCAGTCAGATCAAGCACCTCAGGGCTGAAGACAGATCCATTGTCATAAACAGAGAGTACCACAAGACCATACGAGAATGGCCTAATTCCGAGCTTGGCAAGGAGAGCGGCCTCAGAAGATCCAACCTTCTCACCCTTCTTAATAAGTTCCACAGGAGTGATAATTTCGACAGTACCCTTGTTAATCTTAGTTGGGATATTAAGAACCTGCAAGAAGAAGAATTCAAAAGCTCAGAGTCCATTCATAGAAAAGGATTACTAAGTAATCAAATTCACAAACCTGGAAGAAAGAGGTCTGAGATGGATCAAGCCCTGTGTTGCCTGGTGGGACGATGACATCAATGGGAGCAACCAAACCAACACGAGCAGGGGCTCCAACCTGCACAAGTACAGAAAACGTAAGAATGCAAAAAACCAATTCTGGAAAAATGATTACCATTCCTAAATCATTTTAGATAAAAAATGCAAACTGATGACAATAGATGGTCTATGAAATGCTAATACAAACCAGAACCTAAAAAACAACAAGGAAGATATTGCCAAAACAAAAACTGCAACTTCAGCTACATTAGCAACCAAATAATCCGAGACAAGACAGAAAAATGACAGTAAACTTCAAAAAAAGAATACGTTCGCAACTCCCAAGTTCATAATTCCGAAATATCATTGTTTACAAACCAAAGAAGCATGAATAGACATGAACGCACACGAACAGGGTGACAAGAACACATATGTCAAATATAAATTTTTTTAACAATATATACCGTTTTTAAACCAGATAGACATTAAAAATAAATAAGACAAGGATTTATAAAGATAAAAGATCAAGTTCGATGTATTTTACGCTTAAAATATGTATCATTTGACAGAAAGAACATGAAAGTGTGAACGACATTCATAACAAAACGATAATCGATAAACTCGTGAGAGGAAACATTCATTATGTTAGATTTTCATACAACACTAAAAAAATAATACTCAAAATCTCAGAACTAATTTGTTTGTTCTAGTAAACTACAGACCTTGTATTTGGCAACCTCCTCACTGACTTCCTTCAAATCACCCTTGGTGAAGATCAAACCAACGTTTCCCTATTACAACAAACGAAGGTACTGTGTCAAAAGCTTCATTTGCGAAGATAATTAGCAAGCAGGGCCTCGAGAAAAACGATAACAACAAAGTATTGGAAACTCAAACCACAATATAATACCCATTGCAACACTTACCACAAGAAGAGGAAGAAGATTGAGGTAAGCCTTGTTTCCAGTGTTCTCAGCGTGAATCCTCACAGACCGCTTCATCATGGTATTTTTACCCATGAGCACAACAGAGTCACCACGAAGACCCTTCCTAATGTTCTGGAGCTGGTTAGATCCAACATTGTCAGCGGCCACAATCAAGACCTGACTGTACTCATCGAGGAGCTGGCAAAGCTTGGAGTCGTAAGCGACCTTCTTTTCAGCCTTGGTGGGTTTCACAGCCATTGAAATGTGTTTGTGATGAAAATCGAAGATACAACAAAAATGTCTATAAAAGAAAGAAGAGAAGCAAAACCGAGGGCCAAGAAGAAGCTAGTGGCTCTGTCAAGGCGGACAGCGAAGCTATGCCGTCTCTTTAACCTCTGTTGTGCTAAGAAGTTTTTCTAGGGTTTTGGACAACTCCTGGGGAGCTTAGCAGGCTGATGGAAGATGAAAGTGGGCGCTGGTTCGCTTTATATACTTGATTTGGAGGTTTGGGTTTTGATTTAACCTAGATCCGACGGTCAATGTTCATTGTTGGAGGCTTCAATATTTTGGGTCTCGACGCTTAATGGGCTTCTTCATTTTGTACAAAAGCCCACTAAAAGTGGCTTATACTTAAAAGCCCATTAGTAGTGTTTATACCTTGAAGGTTGTCGGCGGAAGATTCATTTGGGCTTTGTACAAAAAGGTTTAGGTTTTAGAGATCGGCCCAAGCCCATTACATTCACCCACCGTCGCCGTTGGCCAGCGAATGTCCAAAGCAGCACCGATCAAGGCGTGTGATGTGTTGCGACAGGTATGTCTAGCTAAAGAACGTTCATCAATTTCAATCCCATGCCTTGATTTTCCAGTAGCACTGGCAACGGCGACGGCATCGGCAAATGGCTTCCGTATATCGTGATCGGACGTCGGAGTTTCGGTCACTGTCGGAGACGCTGAAGAAGATCGGCGTAGCCACAGCCGCCGTCAATTTAGCTCAAAATGAACCATCGGTGTCCACGCCCTCCAGATCGCCGGCTATTTTACGATCGGAATTCAGCAAGAAGGCCTCGCGTATTGGATTGGGAATCCAAGAAACCTCTCAGAAGATTGTGAGGCTTGCTCAGTGTATGCATTTTTCGTTACCCTTCTCGAACTACGATTATAATTTACCACCCTTTGCTGCGAGTATCTTTTCCAGATCTGTTTGGTTCCTGGAATATTTATTAAATGGTTCAGATATGGATGGTTTTCGGGTTGAATTTTTTGTAACTTAGCAATTGGGGTATTGTGAATCTCGTTTCCATTCTTGATGATCCTCCATAAGTGGTGAAATATTTTCGATACGTTTGTTTGTCTGAAATCTTGCTATCTATATAATGAACATTTAAACTCGAGTACTTTGTATTGATCGAAGTATTGTTTTCGCCGAATTTCATTTTTGTTTTGTGATCATGATCCTCAATTACACTGATTTTCTCTATCTTTTGCCTCTTTTCATTTGATCTTATTTAGCTGTAGAGTGAATACTGGTTGAATTAATAAGTGGTTCTTACGACTAATGAAGGCCCTTTTTTTATCACTCTGAACTTTGCAGTGGCAAAAAGATCATCAATGTTTGATGACCCAATCAGGGAAATTCAGGAAATGACTGCTTTGATTAAGAATGATATTACCTCCTTGAATGTAGCTATCACAGATTTGCAAACAATCCAGAACATGGAGATAGCAGAGGGGAATTATTCAGAGGATAGAGTTGTTCATTCAACAGCTGTCTGTGATGACCTGAAGAGCAGACTTATGGGAGCTACAAAACGGCTTCAAGATGTGCTAACTACAAGAACAGAGGTCTGTCTGAAACAAATCGATATAACATGTCCCATGCATACTCAACTTTAGCTTCCTAAATATTTAAGTTTATAATTCTAAGTTCTAATTACAATTTTTTTAAAAAAATTACAGAATATCAAGGCCAATGAGAGCCGGAGACAAATATTTTCTGCAAATGCAACCAGAGAAAGTCCTTTTCAAAATCAAGCCAAAACTGTAACGCAACCTCCACCTTGGTCAAGTAACACATCTGGAAGTGCCCAATCATCTTTGTGAGTATTCATTGAAGTGACATGCAAATATTGCTTCTAATTCAAGAGACGGAATAAATTTTTCTTTTTCTGTTTTCTGATACCTTAGGTTCTTGTGCTTTGTTTTCTTATCAGATTATCATCAAATGGAGCTCAAGCTGGGGGTCAATTGAGGTTTGTTTCATTGCTACTAAGCATGCCCTGTGTTTTTCTTGTTCTTGACGAGCTGGAAAGTCACATACATGGTTGAAATTAGTATTTCAGTCATATATCCATGCAGTTGGTGTTCTTTTTATCTATACATTTGATGCGTAGTAATGATTGGTAAGAAAGTTGCAGGGTTACCACCTTCACCAATATAATACATGCGAGGGATTTTGTCATATTGCTGTACCCAAATATGTTTGCCATCTTAACCTGCATACCAATCATAGACATGATCTTCAAATGGTTTCTTATTGCATTGATTTCAATGCCATCTTTCCTTAACGTCTTTTTAACTTTTTGCAATTTTGTTTATCCTGATGTTGGTTTCCTTTTTGAAAACTGGATCTGGTTGCTTGGTTAATTTTAATTGAAACAGTACAGTAGGTGCAGTGCGGTAGATTAATCTGCTTGTCCATAACTATTTGTATTGTGCCTTGTTAAGTCAGACGAAGGTTAGCTGTTGAGAACACCCCATCACAGCAAATGGAGTTGTCAATGTTACAGCAGATGGTTCCTAGGCAGGAAAATTATTCCCAAAGTCGTGCCGTTGCTCTCCATAATGTGGAATCCACCATTTCAGAACTCAGTGGAATTTTTACACATCTTGCCACAATGGTAGCACATCAAGGAGAACTTGCTATCAGGTATTATGTCCTTGCTTAGCTGTTTCTTGTGGGGAAAACAAAAACCGAATGTTTCTCTGCTTGCTTGGGTATCCGATCTTCACGCCATCGATTACTTCTCATTTATTTGCTAGTCTTCAATCTTGTGCATGTGAAGCCCAACTGAAATTTCCATACTCTGAATTAAGTTTGGTTGTTGGTTGATCATCAGGATTGATGACAATATGGATGAATCATTGGCAAACGTAGAAGGTGCTCGGAGTGCTCTTTTAAGGCATCTTAACCAGATATCATCAAATAGATGGCTTCTTATAAAACTATTTGCCATTTTGATAATCTTCTTGATGCTCTTTATTTTCTTGGCATAAAACATCAGCTCCCAAACCCTACTTCTAACACTTTTGCTGACGGTAATACGTGGCTTTCTCCATCTCCATCTAAGTATACACTTATCATGAGTTTGATTGTGCTATTAGTTGGCCCCCATCTTCTGTAGATTCAAGGCCATTCCTTTTGTTTATGGGGTTCTATAAAGTTGACCGTGTACAAGAACGCAGCAATTTGTTTATATTTCCACACAAAGAAGCATATATACTGTATCGTGAGAGTTTGGATTTGGCATGGTATATCAAATTACTGCTTGGGATTATAAACTCAATCTCTTTGGCCTTATTTTGGATTTGTTTGTGCACATATCAGAATCTATAAAAACATTTTTTTTTTTTTTAGTAAACGCATTTCATTTTTGTCAAAATTAAAATATGTATGACATGATATATATATATATATATTAGATATCATATAATATTGTAAATATTAATGGTTTACCAAATGCAACCATATATTTAGCTTGGAAAACTACAAATACCTTTACTACTTATAAATATAATATCAAATGCATTTTGAACAACTTAGAGCAAAATAAAGAAACGTGTCCACGGCGAAAACAAAAGGAAAAACGAATGTTCTTAAAGAAGGGCCCAACCGGGTTCGAACCGGTGACCTCTTGATCTGCAGTCAAATGCTCTACCACTGAGCTATGGACCCATTTCTGTTAATCTTCTTAAATATTAATTATATATTTTAAATAAAACTAGAAGTACCACTTTATTTACAATGTTCTTTCCCAACTCGAGTACTAAAGCGTGGTATGATAACACGTATTTAATAATGTTAATATTAATTTTCAAATTTAAAATTATATGTTTTGAAAATTTTGTATTAATGTAGATTAAATTTGTAATCCAAAAGATGTTGGGACTATTAATAACATTGGAATGACATGTTCAAATGTCTAAATATGTTATAAAAATAATTTAATGATAAATAATTTTTTCTGTATAAGGATACAGTTGAAAAGTTATAAAGATTCAAGCTAAATTTAAGAATCGAATAAAGGATCATCAGGCATCAACGAGAAAATTAAAAAAAAAAAAAAAACTAAATTTAAGAATCGAATAAAGGATCATCAGGCATCAACGAGAAAATTTAAAAAAAAAAAAAAAAAAAGTTATAACATGTAGAACATCCTTTGTAGTATTGTGTTCATAGTGTATTAATTAATTTAGGAGATACAATTTATTCAATAAATCTCAGCCCAGCATGAACACAGAATTTAAGTTCAAAACCAGAAGGTTCTTAGGGTATGCAGAATTTACAATTGGGTATATACAACATACAGTAATCAAACATCTTCGCCCTCCTCGCTTCCACCAGCATCTGCTTCATGACTCCCCCACAGCCTGCTTTCATCAGCTCCCACAACCTTGACCCTGCTCAAACTATAAGTATGTCTCAAATTCCTAAAAGAAAGTGCCAAATGATTTCTCTGGGTACTGACCTCTCAAGTACAAATTTCCCCTCCTTGTATTTCTGGCTCTTTTCATGGGCAGTCTCCTGAAAGAAAGCATAGGAATGAATGAATGAATGAGTGAATAGAGGAGACGTAAGAAGCAAAAACAGTTTGATGTTCTTACATATTTCCATCCCACGATTGATCCACACCCCACACAGAATAGATCAGCTACTGTATGCATCCCTGTCATCATCAATCTCTCTTCTATCTTCCCCAACCACACATTTACCCTGCCATAAACTTTCACAATCACAACCTACTCTGTCACAATTGGGTAAGGATTCATTCATTGATATAGTTTTTGTAACTACAGAATGGATGGAATTCCAGTAAAACCACTCTCCTAAGTAATCCCATGGAACCCATGAGTTCTGTTATGAAATATTAACCTCTGTATGCAACAAAGATAAAGCCCGTGGATCAATGACAGAAGCAGTAATACAGACACCCCTCTTGGAAGTGTCAAATTCTTAGGATCTGTTTGACTTATAGGTTAGAAATCAAATGTTTGGTAACCAGAGCTATGAGTTTGCTACCCCCCTTATAAAGTTCTGATCAATCCAATCCAATCCAATCCAATCCAATCCAAGCATATGAAAAGTACCTTTTGTATTATTATATACTGAGTTTTACATATTATAAACCCACAACCCAAACATGGGGTACACAAAGGCAGTTGGGGGAGGGGATTTGTTAATCAGTTCCAATCTCTAAAATGAAGGACTTACACCTTATTGAAGAGGTAAGCTTTCCCATGCCTGCAGTGGAAGGACTGAATAGAACAACATAAACAGTACATGAAGTCAGAATGGCAAAACATCCGAATCCAGAAGAACAAGTAATATGTAAACTCAAAACAAATGAAGGCAGGTACAAAAAGAACACAGGTAAACCTTGGAAATGATATCGTGGTAAAGAGCAAGATGGGTCCGGCAGTACTTGCAGCTATAGATCTGCCCTTCCAGATTCACCACAAACAATCTCCCCATAGCTCTAAAGCCTAAGCTTCCCACAGATTGTGTGGGAAAGCAATCAAAGCAGAACCCAGAATGAGAAATCGAAAAAGATTAGGCAGAAGGGTCAGCCAGAGGACTGAAGAATCAATGGTAGCTTCTGGATCTTCTTTCTGGGTTTTGTGTTCTTCTGTACTCGATTCCAATGTAAAAGGGGGCTTTGTGGATTGTGAGTGAAGAAGGAGATAATTTTGTAACACTACATTCCAAAAACATCCAATCCTCGAAAATATATATATATATATATATTTAAATTAATTAACATAAGCATTTATATTTATTTATGTTTTATCATATAAATTCAATCTAGCGTTAAAAATAAAAAGTTTTTTTTGAATGTGTACTAGCAAGAATAATAAATGTGAATCTTTTAAAGGGTGTGTCTTTTCAAAAATGTTCGTTTTAGAAAATATAAATGGGCCACAATTTGATTGGGCTTGTTGGGCTAAATAAAAGAACCGTGATTAAATTTTATTATTTAAATTATTTGCACATATATTATTACAAATATCAAATACATCGCCATTATTGAAACATAGAGAAAGAGAGAGATTGGGAAAAGTTATATAAATAAAAATAAAAATAAATATTAAAATAAAGGTGAAAACCCCATCATGTCCACATGTTTCCATCTCAATCCCTTTGTCCTCTTAAAGACAGAAAGTGATGGTCATGTGGCTTCCAACATCACATATTATATTATATTATATTATATTATATTATATATATATATATATGATTAATCTTCCATTTCCTCCCAACTTCCCCCTTAATCCCAACATAATCTCCTTTCTAATTCCCCTTTGATATCTCTCTCCAGATCTTAAATTATGTTTTATGTTTTCTATTCACAAACCAATCCAAACATCCATTATATTACACAACGTTAGGGTTTCTATATCTCTCCTTAGTCCGCTAATTAATCAAACTTTGTCGACCAACTTTAGATCTCATCATTTTCCATTCGTTTAAACATGTTAAATTTAATTCAATGATCTTTCACATCGTGTCGTGTTAAGTTTACATTGTACATTCAACTTCAAACCACACGTTATATGAAAATGAATGATTTTGTCAATAATGTTGGGAAGAAAAAGAGTGGTGTGCAGTTTATGACATGTTTTTTTTTTTTTTTTTTCATTAAACATTTGTTGATGTATTATTTTTTGATAAAATAAAAAAGAAGGTAAAATATAGGATGTGGATGACGTAAGAAATAAAGAATTAAAAGGGGAAGAAAATAAAAAAGATAAAATAAGGGGAGTGGGGGGCGGGGGGCACACGTGCAGTGCAGGTGTGACAGGAGTGAAGAAAGAGGGGAGGGCACTGGAAAGTGTTAAATACGAAAGGAAAGACATAAACATACGCATGTTGGTAAAATATTGAATGACGTTGATGTGTATCGCTGAAACCTTATTCAGTTACACACGCGTGCTTCACACCTCCTGTCTCCTACCCTCTCCACTTTTATTATTATTATTATTCTATTTAAAATAGAATTTAATTACATAATTACCTAAAATGAATTGAACTATATAAACCCAATGAAGGGGTGTGTGATAATAAATTAGATGGGAAAGAATAAATAATTTTGGTCCCATTTACAGAGGGAATAAATGTTTTTGCCACAAGATTTTATGAAAGATTTTGTGGTCCTTTTTATTTATTTATTTTGTTTATCAATTCTACCTTTACACCACATGCTACAAATTCTAACCACCATTTTTTACCAAACAAATAAGTCTAAACTTTACAAATTATACTAAATTAGCTCCAACATTTCTAAGTTCATGTTTAATTATAAATTTATTGTGGTTTTACTTTTTATTTATTGTACTAAAAAACGAAGAAAAAAAAAAGAATAAAATTAAAATAATTATTAAGTGTATTAAAACGAGGACATTTTTGTGTCGGCAAGATGCAACATACAATTGAATTATGAGTGTCCCACGTTGGCGAAAGGAAAGGTAGTGTAAGAGCTACCTATCTAATTGTCCTCCTACTTTATATTATAATTCTGATGTCAAGTTCCTATATAAGGAATGAAATTTATATGATTTTAATCCTTTTATTTTTGGGTTCAATTTTTGTTTTATTTATTTTATAACAATAATAATACAAACAAACAAAATGTTTGGAAATTTCTCAAATTTATGAAAACGTTTGAGTATTAGCTTATGGAGTGAGATAATTTTGGGTGAACTAATATTTCTGAAATAATTGTATTGCAAAATCAAATATTTATATATTTATCATATTCCCAACCACCTTAGCTAATCTTTTGAGATTGACCCTACTTCATTATTGTTATATTTTTATTTTTATTTTTATTGTTTTAGTTGGGAATAATTAAATGATGAATATCTAGGAATATGCAAACAAATAGTTCTAAAATAAAACCTATAATTTCCACCTACTTATATACATAAAAAAAAAAGCTTCTAAATCAGGATATGCATAATTTAATCCTATTTTTTCTTCAAATTATTCTACAAAAAAAATTAAATAATAATAAAACTCCTCTGCCAAAGGATAAAAGGGTACTTTTATTATTATTATTATTTATATAAAATTCTTTAATTTAAAAATTAGATGAAAAACTTAAAAAATAAATTTTTACATGGGCAGCCTACGTCTCGTAGGTTGACTTGGAAATTCAGCACAAGCCATTCGTGTTGGCAGAGGGACTTCGTTCTTTCAAATGGATTGAGAGCTTTTTGGATTGTTGAGTATTCAAATCTCTCTAATGCAACCGTGTGTTGAGGAATGAGTTTAGAAAGTTGGTATATCTATTAGAATGTGAAAAACTTAAAAGGACGATAACTATCTTAGATCGCCCTCCAACCCAAAGAATGGTAGAATTTAAGGAGGTAATTTGTATTGACTTGGAATATTAAAAAAAAAATAAATTAAAAGGGTATCTTTGAGAGAGAGAGAGAGAGGAGAGAGATGGGGGGATGGTAGGGCATGTACCCTAAGCTAGAAGACAATGCGACTCCCATAAGAGCACGGACCCGTACCAACCAATATATTGGTAAGGATTGGTGGGTCAATTTTTATGGGGTTTTCGTTTTAATGCCTCGACTTTTTTTTTATGTCAATTTGATGAATTATTGAATATGGTTGTAGTTCACTATCAATGTATATGTCACCATACCAAACCCTTTACCAATTTAACCATCTTTTTTAACTTCTAGTAAATTTACTTGTTAGTTACTAATAGAGGCAGTAAGTAATTCTAGTCTTATCAAAATAACATTACGAACATAATGGACCAACCTAGTACCTATGGTTCCGTGTCATCCATGTCTTTTTAAAAAAATTAATTACTTAATTCATTTCTTTCTTTTTTCTTTTTCAATAATAAACCCTTTATTCCTTTACCAATTTGAGGCATTCTTGGCATATATAATATTGTCTTCAATTTTGCGTTTGGTTTCATTCAAAAGATGTAAAGTAACATTACATTTTAATTGTCTCGTGTTAGTTCATGAGAATAGTTTTTAGTATTATAAACGAAAAGTAAGTAATGTAATAATGTCGCAGGAGATATAAGAGAAGGTCGAAGTACATAAATACTGAATTCAAATTCCGAATGTGAGACATAAGTGGTTACCGTTTCATACTCTTCTACTGTGAACGTAAAACAAAATTTGGTGAGTAGAATAAGGTGGAGGGAAATGCATTGAATATGTATGGAGAGAGTATTTTGAAAGGCGATAATGATGAAGAAGAAACGAAGGATGCCAAAAGAATGCTCCAATGGAGGTATAACAGAGGGCAGAGAGAGGATATAAGGTCTGTCAAAATGGAGCAGAATCTGTATTCATGAAGTTTGTAGGGTTCACAATAGGCTTCCCCCATTAGGCCTGCACATTCCTATAAACCATACAAACAGAATTACAATAAACAAGGATAATCCTCAAAAGAAGTGTTTGAATACAGAGCATCACCTACCACTAAATACATGCATAAACATGTGATCATAATAATTTAATCAACCCTTTCATTCCTTCATTGATTTATTTATTTCTTTCTTTTGTTTGGGTGAGAAGAAAGAAAGTTTGATGTTTCTCCAATTGGGGGAAACCATGTGATTGAACATGACATAAATCAACCTCTATCATTGCATCCCACTCCTCTTCTAACTTTTTCTTTTCATCTTCTTCCACTTTTAAAGCTAATCAACTTAAACATGGCGCAGTTGATTAAGAAGTTCGAAATTAGACAAAAGAATAAAAGAAAAAAAAAGAAAGAATTAGACAAAAGGTGTCAGATAAAAAAGAAAATCCGACATTCATTTTCCCTCTGGAAGGAAAAAAAAAGAACCTTTTTTTGCTCTCTCTTCTTTTTCTTCCTTATTTCTTACTCCTCTGTTTATCAGTAATACCACCCGTGTGCCTCTGTCTCATCCCCCATTTCCCCCCTTGAAAACAACAATTCCCCACCTTCTCTCTCTAAAAATCCCCCTTTTTTATTTATACCCCTCCATGTCTCCCAATTTCCTCTAAACCCCATTTCCCCCAATTCTATTTCAATTCAGTCCCCATGGCCTTTTTCTTTTTTCTCCTCTTCTTTTCCTCTGTTTTCGCCTCTTCTCTGTTTCTCTTTCTCTTTCTCCGCCCGGCGAGATTCCGGCGTGTCAGGCTGCCACCGGGGACACTCGGCCTTCCCTTCATCGGAGAGTCTCTTCAACTCATCTCCGCTTACAAGACCGAGAACCCCGAACCCTTCATCGACGAGCGTGTCCGACGATTCGGACCGGTTTTTACAACCCACGTGTTTGGAGAGCCGACGGTTTTCTCGGCGGATTGGGAGACGAACCGGTTCATTCTTCAGAATGAGGAGAAGCTTTTCGAGTGCAGCTACCCGGGTTCGATTTCCAACCTGCTTGGGAAGCACTCTTTGTTGGTGATGAAAGGGAGTTTACATAAGAGAATGCATTCTTTGACTATGAGCTTCGGGAATTCTTCCATTATTAGGGATCATCTTTTGGTCGATGTGGACCGGTTGATTCGCCTCAATTTGGAGTCTTGGACCGGCCGGATCTTCCTCATGGAGGAGGCTAAGAAGGTACCCACAAAACCACTCCACCCTCTCAAATTCCATTCTTTTATTATTAAAAAAAAAATATAGAAAAAGAAAAATTATGATTATTAAAACGAACCAACTCCAAAACATAACAGGTCAGTTCACGTTAGCAGATTCATTCCTTTGGTCTGCTCATTCGTCGGGGGCCTCCCAAGAAATTCCATGGCGCACGTTAGCAACAAACACACAAACAAAAAAGAAAAAGAAAAAAAATAAAAATAAAAATAAAAATTTGCAGTACAGATCATGCAAACTTTTTTAATTATTGTTTCGGCCGTTGTTTTAATTATTATGTTTGTGTTGTTGTAAATTAAAAATAATATATTTTATTTTATTTTAAAAAAAAATTCAGATAACGTTTGAGTTAGCAGTGAAGCAATTGATGAGCTTTGATCGGTGTGAATGGACTCAAAATCTGATGAAAGAATACCTTCTTGTCATCGAAGGCTTTTTTACCGTCCCTTTCCCTCTCTTCTCCTCTACTTACCGTCGAGCCATCCAGGTAAATCTTTTTCACCTTTTTCAAATTTACCCACTCTTTTAACTAAATAAATAAATAAATAATCTAAACTTACAAAATTTGGAGGGTTAGGCACGTGAGAAAGTGGCGGAGCAATTGGGGACGGTGGTGCGGCAGCGGAGGAAAGAGAGCAAGGAGGGAGAGAGGAAGAAGGACATGCTTGGAGCGCTCCTCGCCGGAGAAGACGCCCTCTCCGACGACCAAATAGTCGATTTCTTATTGGCTCTACTGGTCGCTGGATATGAAACCACGTCAACCACCATGACCCTCGCCGTCAAGTTTCTCACCGAGACGCCGCTGGCTTTGGCCCAATTACAGGTACTTTCCGGCCACCATTTTTTTTATTTTCGTTTCGTTTCTCTAGGGAAAAAGTAATAATCCGATTGTGGGGCTGAAAACTGCAAAATCAATCGTTTTTTTCTTTTCTTTCTCTCACTCTCAACCTCATATCCATTATCGCAAATTCCCTTTTTTTTTTTTTTAATTAGTATATGTTTAATGATTTATATTAATTTTATAGGAAAAAAATAATGAATTTTTTATACCCATCTACTCATAATTTAATTTTTAATATATATATATATATATATGTAATAAGTTAAATTGAGACGTATGAAAAGATAATTAATAGTTTTAAGTACTTAATTTGATTGGTAGTTTTGTAAATGAGTAAATAAGCATTAAAAAGAAATAGGAATATATGAAAATAAATAGAAGTCTAGATTCCTCCCTAACTCCATAAAATTCTCGAACCCTAGATCCTACTTGGATATTTAATTATTATTTAGTTTCTCTCTCTTCTTTTTATTTTTAATTAAAAAAAGCAAAATTCAGAATTTTATAATTTACTTTCTCCCTCTCCTGCTTTCTACTTCTGAAATCTTTGAACACTCTCAGATTTCAAAAATAGGAAATAAAAAATTGAAATTTCATGCTTTTAAATAGAAGGATACATTTGTTTATCATATTTTTTAAAATATTTATTTACAATATTAAAAAAATATGCTGCCACACATTCATATCTTTTATTTTATTTTCTTATGAAACTAAAAAACAAGTCTCGAGTGGAAATTTGGAGAGTAATTTTTGAGGAGTAAAAAAGAAAAAAAGAAAAAAAAACTTAACTTTTAGTGGGTTTTGACTTTTTCTAAAAGAAGTAATTTTGTAGCAATGCTTTTGAAAGAGAAAGAGGAGGAGGAGGAGTTTCAATTAATTTTATTATTTATTTTTTTAAAAAAAGGGTGAAAAAGTGAAAGTGAAGATAAGGGAAGGTAAGTACATTACATTACATTACAATACATTACTTTACTTTACTTTGCATTACATAAAGAGTAAAAAAGCTTACACACTCCCCTTCTCCCCTTTTTACCCATTGGACATTATTATTCCCTCATTTCTTTTTCTTTTTTTTTTTTAAAATACTTTTATTATTATTTTAAAAACTACATTTCACAGACCTTCCAAACTAAAAATTTATCAAAATACAATAATACAAAAGCAAATGAAATGATGTATCTCAATTTAGAAAAATAAATAAAAAATAAAAACAAAAGCCAAGAGAGGCACAGCCAGCTCTGTGCTGTTTTTCTTCTTTTTCTCTGAGCACGCTTTGAAGTTTGACCACTCTGTTCTGTCTGTGGAAATCACCAAAATACCCTTCCTTTACGTGGGGATGATCCTATCTCTCTTGGTGTGGGCTCCCTACAACAAGCTCTACACCACTCAACGTGGAACTGGATCAGACCGTCCAAAATCATACCTAGGATTGCCATCTCGCTTTCCCTGTCTCTGCGCCTCACGTGCCCTTTTACTTCTTTAACCCTTTTCCTCTTTACTACTCAAAACACTGTTATGGTGGACAGGAAGAGCACCACCAAATCAAAGCAAGGAACAAGCAATCACACCAACGCCTTCAATGGAATGATTACAAGTCCATGCCTTTCACCCAATGTGTGAGTCTCCACCCGTACCTTTTCAAATCTTTCTTTTCTCTTTCGTTCATGCCTTCCTCTTTTTTCTTCTACTTAAAAGGTTGTCAATGAAACATTACGAGTTGCCAACATCATCAGCGGCGTGTTTAGGAGGGCAATCACCGACGTAAATATCAAAGGTAACCAACTACTTTACTTCTATCATATTCATTCAAATTTTTAATATTTTAGTCCACCATCTAAACTAAATAAATATTGATCCAGGGTATACAATTCCAAAGGGATGGAAGGTTTTTGCGTCATTTCGTGCAGTACATTTGGACCATGATCACTTCAAAGATGCTCGCTCTTTTAACCCATGGAGATGGCAAAAGGTACAATCTACAAACAATCTAATCAACAACATCTCTCCTTCCTCCTCTCAATACTCAAATCCTAACTTCTATGCAACCCAACCCACCAGACTAGCTCCGGCTCCACCACGCTTAATGCTTTTACGCCCTTCGGAGGAGGTCCCAGACTATGCCCTGGTTATGAGCTTGCCAGAGTCGAGCTCTCTGTTTTCCTTCATCATCTCGTCACTCAATTCAGGTTATATTCATCTCTCCCTGCCTTCAATCAAAATACACTTTCAACATGCAACTCTACTAACTAATAATCAATCCGCATTTCAGTTGGGTTCCAGCAGAAGATGATAAGTTGGTATTTTTCCCAACAACAAGAACACAGAAGCGCTATCCTATCTATGTGACGCGGAAGAATGACACTACACACTCATCCACCACACACATTAAGGGAGGCGAGGCGAGTCGAGTCGAGTCAGGTTTCAATATGTAGAGGGGAGTCTAATGTTTCTCTTCATCTTGTATGAATAAGATTATATGCTAAATTAATAAGTTTTGATTAAATACACACAATATGGAGCTACTCAAGTAGTACAAGCCAATGAATTGCCAATACAAAAATTATATATATATATCACTTCTCTCGGCCCCTTCTCCAAGAGTACCAATTTTTGTAGCCAATCAAACACTGGCTTCTTCTACCCACCCACCCACATATCTTCTGCCCAGAGGTTCTCCAGGCTTCAAAATTCAGATGATTTGACTTGAGTCTGCAGTTTTTGGGGTCTGACACAGTCTTCTTTACAGTATTAGTCAGAGACGTCAATTGCAACACCATTTATACATTCAAATACAGAGAAAAGATATGAGTATCAGTATCCGTTCCTCTCCTTGCTTTTTATGGCAGATTCAACTAGCTTAACCTTTTTAGTGTTCTCAGCGTTGAGGAGGGAGAGTTTCTCAAGCGATGATTTGAGTTGGGAGATCTGAGAGCCTTGAACATATGTGCTTCTCCTGTACATTTTCTGTTGTTGATTCACTCCATTGTTGTTGTTCTTTGAAGAATTTTTAAACCTCCTTAGTCTTGCAGTTACTGTATCCATTGAAATACGCAAAGCGTCCAACTCAACGCCTGTAAAGTGGTCTGGAGGCAACAAAGAATATCTATCACTTTGTTTAAAACTAAAAAGCAATTATCATGTGAAAATTTGTCAACCCTTCACCCTCAACATAGTTCAGCTGCCTATATCTTTTTGATTACTCAAAGTACAGCAGGACTAAGAACGGTGATACGTGACAGCGTTGCACTATCAAAAGGAGAGCAACAAGTCAATTTTCAACTGAACAGAACTTGATTAATTTGGCTCTGCCCCAACTAAAACTATGCGTGTCTAGAAGAACTAGTTACATATTTCACTTAAAAAGTAAAATGTTTAACTACGTAACCAACCCGTTTGAAAACATCGAAAAGTTTTTTTAATTGGCTTAAAACTACTTTTCTTTGTTCCAAAATTCATATCAAATCACTTTATTTAGTCTAAGAAATCAACCAATCAAACAAATTGAAGTACTGAAGTGAGAATTTATTACCAAGTGTAGATTTAAACTCTCTTTCTGCTTTGGACAACGGCTTTTTGTGAGCTCCTGGCAAGTTCTTCAACCGATGTATCCGCTCTTCCAGAACATTGTGCAGTTTGATAGCACTTTCTATCCTGTCGTCCAATACTTGCTGTTTACCCTCTACTTTTAAGAGCTTTTGTTGTGCCTCTCTTAAACGAGTTTGCTGATCGTCATTTAATCTCTTCAACCTGGGCCCATGCTGCTTGAGCTCATAGTACACCTACATGGGGGAAGTAGAAGAGAGGAAGGATAGGGGAAGTTTAGATGTTACACATAAGGAGCGCTAAACTAACTAAATTATCTACAGTAGTTGATAAACACTTCATAGTTCTGCAGTAAATTGCAATTACCGAGTGTGCATACTCCACATAATTTTCATGGAAGAGCTTGAAATACTGATGAAGCATGGACCGACCTTCAATGGAATCGGCAGTCACAGAACGCATATTTGATGATGACTGAGGAAGGAGAACTACCTTAGGTCCGCCAAGAAGATCTTTGCTTATAATTTCAGATCTTTCGCTTTCACTTTTCTCCCCTGTCACTGCTGCAGCTGATTGTCCCTCATTTAGGAAATTGCTAACCTGAACTGGGACTAGAAGGTTCCAAGTCTTCATCTCTAGGACAATGCATTCTTGAGAAAAGGTGACTCCCACAATCCAAGAGTATCCAAATGAATCAGATAACGAGGCAAAACCACAAAGTGGAAATGGGTTGGAGGTGTCTCCCTGGCAGCAGGTATTCAGAACAGAATGCACAGAGGGAGTTCTCATTATCGGGTCCTGTCCTCTGCTTTGACTTGTGAATGGAAGAAAATGCAATATAATCGAGTCTATACCTCCATTGTGAAGAGCAAAAATTCTTTGATCCATAAGTTTATCAACAAACATCGTTATAAGAGAATCTCTCTCCATTTTTTTTGGAAGGGCCAGATCTACTATAGCCAGTCTCAGCAAAGGGGGTGGAAGCCCCAACCAAACTGTATGATCAAGTGGTTGATCAAGCTTCACCTTTGAGAGCTTCCCTGTAATCAATTCGCATATCATACCAAGACCAAGAATATTGTCATTCGGATCAACACGTACACGTGGAGAACTACCAACGTTCCAGACAGGTTGAACTTCATCTGCAAGGGCATCTATCTGCAGTTGCCCACCACTCCATGCTGTCACGAGAACTGAGTCTTTACTGATTAGATTATACAGCAAACTTACTGCACCTCCTTCACATTCTGCACCTTTAATTGATATATCTTCTTCATTTCCATTATTACATGCTCTCCACAAAGGCCCCTGGAAGAACATGTGATATGAAGATTAAGGATTCCAAGACCCGGTACTGAGAGTATACTGCAACCCATGCACATGCCATACAACTAAACTTTTGATAATGACACACATATATATAGTGGCCAACTCCCAACTGCATGCATTGAAAATGTCTCATAATTCATACCTGCAATGCAATTGACGCATCAAATAAAGCACAAGGATGGGCAACTATCACTGACATATCTCCTCCATCTGGTGCTCGAACTAAATTTGGAAAAGTTTCTTCCAACCAAGAAATTGCAAGACTAGAATTACTGACAGCCGTTGGATTGGCTGATTTTAGCCCAGAAGACTGAGCATCATTGTAAATCTCCAATATAGATTCCCACACGTAAACACTGTTGAGGACAAAACAATCCCTTAGAGATGGTAACGTATATAGTTCTATAAGAAACTAGAAGGCGCTAATCAGAACTTTTAGTAGGCTGCAGTGGAGGGAGATTTTCTTGGTGCATTCCACCCATTATTTATTACTCCATATTGGGAAAACTGTCCTCTCTGAATCTCACCTCGACCCACTTTCAAAGGACAAAATATTTGAAGAATGAAAACCAAAGAAATAAGTCTGTCTCTGATAATTCTAATTGAATATTCATGATCCAAAGTCGATACCTTTTAAATGGAACAACTGGGCAGAGGATGTAAATTGAACCATCACTGAATAAAACAAACACCTGCAGATATAGTGTGTAAGCTTTTTTATAATCATAATGTTGATCCTTGGGCTGTTTCACAGAGGAATCTTAGCCACCCACCAAGTTGTAAAAAAGAAAGCAAGAGTTTTTCATGCATTGAGAAGTAGTACTAACATCACGACCTTACTTGAACAGGATATGTTCTATAAGTTGTACAATTGTGTCAAAGTAGTATTACATCAGATTTCAGATCCTACACATTAGGGTTACTCAAATATTCTTAATGCCTACAAGTCAATACATAGCAATATATAAAAATGTAATCTGGCTTGAGATTACTGATTCTTGAAGCACAGTGGAGCACCAAACGGACAGCACAGAAAGTTATATGTGGATATTCCTAAAATGTCCCAAAAAATAGGTTTGATCTTTTAGGTCATGTTTTTTTCTTGGTAGAAGAACTTTTAATTTATGTGAAACCACAACATGGAAGAAATCATCGAAAAATTAGAACGCTCAAATTAAATATCTGGGCAAGAAAAAAAGGGAAAGATACTAAGATAAGTTTTCATCACTATAAAGAGAAAACGTTCTATCATCGAAATTTCAAATCTCCAGTTAATGAACTTACACTGAACTTGTCCCACAAGTGATCTCCCCCAAATGAAAAACCAACCGGACAGATTGAAGTGGCATTATTAGATTGACCAGGTTCCACTGGCTGTATATAATATTCTTGCTCTGGTTGCACAATATCCGAAGACAGATTGAAAAGCCTGAAAGGAAAAGACGTTAAACAAAAAAGCACCCAGATCAGATGTTGAGGAAAGGAAATTTTTTGAAGGAATTGGATTGTTTTGGTTAATCGACCAGCACGTTGGAGCAAACCTAGACAAATTACTAATCTGTGCGAGGGGAAGATAAGCAGCATCCATCTCTCCTTCTCATTATTGAACCGTTCATAAGCCTCAAGAAAAAACAATTATGAACAAAATTCTACTTTCCTTCCTAGTTGACTAGCAGCAACAAGATTTTGTAAGCGCTCATGGAGAACATGAAATAAAAACAAGATTAGCCAAAAGAAATCAGCAATAACACTAAAAAGAAATTAAATGTTTTTTTTCTATAAGCTAGCCCACAAGAAATCAAGGGTGCATATAATTTCTTTATTCAGGAAACGTAATAACCTGAAAACAGAATCAGATGAAAGGATTCCAAGGTGGAAGTTGCTATATGGGTGCCAAGAAACTTGAAGCGTGCGTATGACATCATGACCACCATAGTAGATTTGCGGACCAACTCTAACAGTCCTGTAAGAAAATTAGAAGACTCTTTCAGGAAGAACAAGGTGGAAAACATGTTATGACATCCTTTATACATAAAAATGGAAAACAAACGAATAAAACGTATGAATATTTTGCAATTTAACATAAACAAAAGCTACAATTGATGGAAATCAAACTTGAATCATTAACTCAGCTGTTAGCTCTTCCTCACCTACAGATGATAGTGTTGTTATCTCTGGTAGAACTGTGACCGTAGAGGTGCATTATGCACAACCCACCAGGACCCACAAGGGCCAATGCCGATCCATTCTTATTGATAGAAATCTTATGCACCACAAAGTCGAGCTGTACATCGGGTTGCAGCACCTATTCAAAGCAATTGAGATTATGAAGAAAGACTAGAAAAATGGGAGAAAACATGATACAGAACCTTTCAGAACAAAAGGGTTTGCCCTACAAATTCTCAAGTCTGCTCTCTTTCTAACACTTGTTACAGAACTATAACATATCTCTTCACAAAGAGGAAAGTAGAACTGACTTTAGAGGGGGAAGCGGCGAGGACGGAGGTGGGTTCGGGTTCTCCGAGGCGGATGGAAATCCGGTGCAAGCAGAGTTTGGTGGAGTCCCAGAAATAGAGACGAGAGGCACCATCCCAGGCCAGAAGATTTCTGAGAGGCGGAGCAGCAGAACCGCCATAGTCGACGGCGGAGGGAGTGAAAACGGGGTGAGTCGTGAGAGGAACCCAATCGACGTCTAGTTTGGGGATTAGAGATCGACGCGGATCAGAATCAGCTTCGTTCAGGTCGAAATTGTACCTCATTGTCGTTTGGGAATGTTAATACCGCCAATTTTGCTTTCGATTCCGGTGAGTGCTCTGTTCGTCTCAGTAACCTCTATTTTTCGTTCTGGAGGGGTGTCTGCTTTAAACGGCGTCGTTCTGGTTCATGTACTTTCAAAATATTAACCTTAGTTTATAAAGAAAAATTGGAACTCGACACTACGGGTACTTTCCAGTCCCAAGTAATAATACAATTTTTCAAAATATCATTAAAATATCTTTTTATTTGCTTATTTATATATCGTTAAAATTTCATATATATATATATATATTTTTTAACTCAGCTAATATATTATTTCTTTTACTATTTAATCATATAAAATTAATTAATTAAAATAAATTAAGTTCCATTCTATCTTGATAATTATGAATTATGAGTTATTCCTAAGGCATGTCCATGAATGTAATCATGAGTTATTCGTAATCACATCAAAGTTATCATGATAATTATATCTTATAGTTTGTTTATGATACCGTTAGAAGTTAAGTTATTTTTGGATCAATAAGAGAGTAGGCCTCATTATTCAAGTTCCAAAATTAGGTTTGGAGAAGATTATTTATCTAAAGAAATAATATAATTATATTTTGTGAAACTTATATCTTCACCTCCCTGTTTGGTACTATTTGGTTAAATTCGTATAATGTTGTTTGGTACTATTTGGTTAAATTCGTATAATGTTGTTTGGTACTATTTGGTTAAATTCGTATAATGTTAGGATTATTGAATTGGGTATGCATGCCACTCTTAGACTGTTTTATATAATAAATAATCCAATATTGAAAATAAAAAATTATTATTATCAAGTAATAAATTTGAAGTTGCATAAATTCCAACCAAGAAACACAAAGTCTATCTTATATTTGATTAAATGCCTTTAAACAAAACCAACATCTTTAGTTGGATTCAAACTTGCATCCAGTTCCTTTCTGACCATTCTTCTGTCATAAATTCAAACTAAAGTTAAAGCTTGAAAAAAATATGCAGAAATCAAACTGAAATATTCAACAAAGTACAAAAGATCATAATAGTATGTAGCGAGATGATAGCGAAAGAATCGAGAGAAGGTCGGACTCGGAAGCTGAATATCATAAGATCACAAGGCCTTTTACCATTTTTATTTGTACTGATCCAAACTATACATTTTACATCAGATAAATTCGACCGCTAAATATGAGGCAAAATTGTATGTTTCTATAGTGTATATTCATACTAACACAATCAAATAATTTACAGATGTTAGTTAGCTTTGCACCACCTCCTGAATCTCCAAATCCAACCAAAAAATCTGTATCACAAAGAAATACGCGGAAATTAGATCTCAATCAGAGTTACTAACATTCTTGACAAATGCAGACTGTGTTTTCATATGATGAAGAAGAATTTTGATATCCTCACCTGAAACCTGAAGACCGGGCGAAACAAGTTCAATGGAAACAAGTTCTGATGAACTGTGATGGTGTTTTACTTCACCCATTCCTTTTGAAGAATCTTTTGGTGCCTGGGGAAACCGCTCTTGCAAGCAGAAACCTGCAACGGAAGACAAAAAAAAAAAAAAAAAAATCAGGAATAAAATAAAGATTTGGTAGACAATTTGAATTGGAGGAGAAACCAAAGAAAAAAGTCATAATATGGTATCGATATTTCATTGACTTAGTCAAGAAGTTGAAATCCACCATTTCTTGTTAATAAAGTATTAGGTAAATATGAAGTGAAGTTATTGACTTTCTAGAATACGTTTATCAAACTCGATTTCTCTTCTAAAATCAAGAAGCTTCCTTGTTCATTCCTGGAAGATTCCATGGTTTCTTTCTGACTTTCCTAAACAGCCATCATTATTTTGGTGAAAGGAAATTACTTGATCATCACTTAGTTCTTGAAAATTCAATGTGTAATAGATGAAAATCTACTGTTCAAAACTAGTTTTTGCAGTTTTTTTGAAACAAGGATGAAAGAAAACAAGAACGAGGTTTGGTAGTGTGCAAAAGGATTGATATTAGGCTAAAATTGTTCTCAGAGGCAAAACATCGAACACTTACCGCTTCAATATCAATCTTGTAAACCAGGAGCTTTCTCCTCTCTCTGCAACTCGTCCTATACGCCACAGCAACATGGGCAACAGCCAAAAGCAGAGAGCACATAAACAAAGCCACCTCCATGCCTCGACCAACATCCAACAAGCCACTACCAAACACAAACCAAGCCTTGAACGAGACAAACACCAAGGAAATCACAGAACAAAACGTGGTGATCCCCAAATACGGCCCTCGCGAGAGCCTCGGCCCATCGCAAAAGCTATAAACACCTACACACCCAAACACACAGAACAATCAAATCAAATCAAAACTTAAGTCCACCAGGTAGATGAGTGATCTAAAGTAGAACTTACAGAAAATGATGGCGGATCTTAGGAGGGAAATGAGAGGGATATCGACGAGGGAGGATCTAAAATCGTAGTTTGTGAGATGAGAAGGAAGGGATTTGAGGGAAAAGGAGTAAGGGTAAAGAGAAGCAGAGAGAAGAGCAGAGGGAAGAAGGGCATCGGCGATGACGAGAAGAACAGGGGCGGACAAAAGGAGAAGGGAAATCAACATGGTGATTAAGAAGAAAAGGGTTTTGATTCCTCTCCATAAACGCTTGGATTTCTCTTCTTTTGAGAAACCCATTTTGAGTGAATTGGGATTCATTGGATTCCTAGTGCTCTGGCGTGCTCTGTTCTTGCTGTTGTTGTGGTGGATTATGAGGAGTTGCCCATTTTTAAGCTCATCAAACGAGAAGGGCCGCAAATGATTTTGTTGACTCCAAGTCTGCGCACTATGAGGGCCATCACAAAACTCTCTCTCTTCTCTCTAACCCAACGACAATACCTAAATACCTCGGGTCACATTTTTAACTTTCCTTATTAATTAATTGAATAAATAACAAAATAAAATCAATTTAAATGGAATGAAAACTTCAAATTGTTTGTGCTTAAAATAATAAAATAATATATATATTTTAAACATGAATATGAGTAGATGGCGGGACCGACTTGATTTTGAGGCATGTGATCACATGGAGCAATTTTTGTCATTGGTATTTTAATATTTTAATTTAATTTTAATACTATATTTCAGGTTGGGGCATTGGTTGGATTCCTTTTTCTGGTTGGATTAATAAATAATTTTAATTAATCTAAAATTAAATACTTTCTACCATCCTCATTATTTATTTATTTATTTATGAGAGCTTTAATTTTCCTTATGTTGTTTCAAATATTCCCTCCTAACACTTTCTCTATTTGGTTGTATTTTATTATTAGTTTGGACATTGTTTAATTAAATCTATAGGGTTTGAAGAAATAAATGTGGTATAATTTTCACATTAAATTTACTAGTTAGTTTAAATGAACAAAGATATGGCAAAAATTTGATATGTTTTGTTTTGTCTATCCCTTAGTAATTAATTATAAAAAGTATAAAAGACTTATTCATATTTTAAGGGTTCTTTCTTAAATTATAAAATTTAATATATGAATGGTGATATTTTTAAAAATTCAAAATCTACGTATACAAAATTATAATTTTAAGATTCGGTTAAGTTCAATTTTGATTTAAATATAATTTTATAATTTTAAAAGTTCAAAAAAAACAAAAAAAAAATTAGAACAATGTATATATATATATAGTGATTGAAGTCGGAGGTGAATCTATATTTTATTTTTTAGTTTTAGAATAAAGATCCAAATTTTGATTTTGACCCTATGTTGATGGTCCATAGTTTTAGGGCATTGTATGGCTAGAGCCTCTATGTGTCGATTAGGTCGAGTTACATGATCCTGATTTAAGAAAGGTTATGAGCGAGTGACCCACTTAAAAAAAATTGGTCTCTTGATTTTTTTATATTTTACTCTAGGTAAGCCTATCTAATCCGATAGGAGAAATTTCTCGGTGAATATTTTAAATACTTGCCATTAAAAAAAAGCAGGTAAGTGCAAAGGTGTGATGCAAGATGGATAGAAAGGGTTGTTAGTTGATCTATGGGTCGACTTTTAAACTTTATGACATCGAAGTTGCAGATCCATTGTGGTTTTGAATGTTTTGTTTATATTTTGTAATTTAATCTTTTAAAAGGAAAATATTTTACTATATTAATTTTTAAAGTCTTGATTTTAAATATTATCCTACCAAGGTGTTATTGCGTAATTTAAATGAATTAAAGCCCTTAAAAGCTTTATGAAAAAAGTAGCAAAAAAAAAAAAAGATAAAAGGGAGACAACATTGGTAAGACAGGTGATATTTGTTGGGACTTGGAGAGTGGTTGGCTGGGTTAGGTACTATGATCCATTTTAAAGCATTTCAATTTGGTTTATATTCTTATCTAAACCAATCCAATCACTTACACATTATACCAAATGGAAATCTCAGTCCCAAAAGATTCCACATATTTAACTACTTTTACTATTAACTAATTAAAAAAAAAAAACATCAAAATTTACTATTAATGTATATATATCCATTCATATACGTCACTTAGGCATATTGACACAAATCCACCTCATCCCCATTCATTTTTATTTTATTTTATTTTTTAATTTATTAAATTAAACTAAACAAGTTCCCAACGTCAGCATCAATATTATAAAAACTACAAATGAGTACGGATTTTAAAGTTTATTTAATTAAAAAATGAGTTTTGAATTATTATGAATTTAAAAATATTAAATATCTTCAAATGAGTTAGATCATTGCGTTTGTCATAAAATTTGAGGAATTAAGATTGATAATATCTTTCATAAACAAAACCCACAATCTTTTTTAGCCTTTAAATTTGAAAAAAAAAATCATAATTATTATTTCTATATTTCTTTATATTTTTTAAAAGCAAGATGGGATGGTAAAGAAAAACTAGGGGGGTTTGACAAATATTTTGGCAGTCAAAGAAGAACGCATGAAGCTTGCAACACATGATAGCAGCCCTTTTTTGGTTTTGAATTTCAAGGTTGAGTTATTTTAAATTAATCATAGAAATAAATAAAAGATGAAAGGAATATAATTGATTTGGAAAATGTGACGTGTCATGAAGGTACAATAACCACATGCCACATGGAAATTAAATCACCCTATAAGTTAGCTGATAGGTTCATTTAATAAACAACAAAATAAAACCAAAGCCAAAAGACATATCCACGTGGCTTGCCCATGACAACATCAAGCCCTACCTTCGCTCACAAGGTAGGGGACTTTATCATGTGGTCACACACGTACATAAAAGATTCATCCTCCTTTTCCCTTTCACATCTTTACGTGTATCTTCATTTCTAGCCTTCTTTTTGCTTAAAATCCTTCCCACTTTCTACAACAACACCAAACCATATCTCTAATACACGTTTTGTCCTTTTCAATCTTTAATGGTTTTTTCTCTATAATATTACGATCGAAATAAATCCTTCCTGTTCTACTTAGCTCATTTTTCTATTGCTCGAGTGTCGTGTCTAAACTTCAATTGACTCTATATATGATTCGCGGCTCCTAGTTTAGTTCTTTCAACTATATTTAGATCTATACACTGTTTGAGTATCGTGCATGTATAAATGATAATTTCCATACCCTTTGAGCCTAAACTTTTTTTAATTTCATACCCTACTTTGTATACTAATAAACAGAGTTTTTCAACTTTTCAAATTTAGTTAAAATTAACCAAAATAGTTTTTCCATTCTAATTATTATTTTTTTTCGTATAACAAATGGTTGGAACCAAAATGAGCCCAACTACTGCGATTAAGGCCCAATCATAAATACGGCCCAAGGTTCAAGCCCACGCTATGCTGATCCATTGGGCTGCGGATTCTTCTAGTGGGTAGTCTCCAGCTCCCGTTGAAGAATTTGGGGGTCAACGACATCAATTATAATTAATTGTGCATTTTAGTTATTGGAAAAAAATGGAAATACGTAATATTTCAATATTAAATTAAATTTTCTAAATTACTAAAATAAAAATGTAAACTAATAAAATTATGACATAATCTTAGCATAAGAGATAATCGGAGAAATTATAAGACTGTGTACTTCGAAATAACTTAAACTAGAGGAGAAAAAAATCACTAAAAAGATTGGAATATCATACACGGTACATTTTGGTATCTCGATATGCATAAACATAGTCATACCAACATATCCATCATAGTCAAACAAAAAGAAATACATGCATTTATTCGGATAATATAACATAAATAATAACAATAAATAAGGCTACAAAGTACGTGTTATTTACATCTAACATAGCTCGTAGGCGTTCCAATATTAAGTTCACCTAATAGCTATACTAACCTTCTCTAATCTTGACTACGTTCGAGCGACTTTGAGATAGCGAGCCAATTGATATTAAACCGACAAACCGACAAAGAAAATCGACCATATTTGTTTCGTTCAATTTGAGTATAACAATGGTTTTAAAGAGAAAAAAAATAGTGGTGAGACCCATGGAAACTTTATTTGATTTGATGGATGAAGTTTATGAATGGGGCCTCACCATTAAGCAAGCAAAACATTAGTTTGATATATTGAAAGCATAAAAACTTTTATAAATGCATATACATTCCAAAAGCACAAAGCTCGCATCTCATTTAATGACGAATTAGGGTTTGGTTGCTTGGTTATATAGATAGGTGAGGTGCTTTTAATGCATGTCCAACCCTTTCACAATCAAATCACCTCCCAGCCATACCTATCCAAATTTGCTTTTATTGGGAGGGGACGCATGTATCTAAAGAAAAAGATGTTGTTTTTAGTCATTTACTAAATGTTTAGTTGCGGGAAGAGCTATAAATTGTGTTCTTTGAAATGTATAGCAACGGTGGACTATTATCCTCTCAATCACAATTCTAAAGAGATATAATGTTGCTAGTGGATGAATTTTTTTTAAATGGGTATATGACCCTACAAAAACAAAATTCTAAAAAAATAATATGCAAATTTAATTTTTTTGGTTGTGAAAGTAAAACATGACACGATGCCTATACTATACTCCGTCCCCACAAAACACCACCATCAATTGCCCCCTAGCTAGGGAGTACCTATCCTGCCCAATGTTGTTTGTGGGGGCATTCTTTGCGAGTAGTAGGTGGACAGTTAACTATACCTATTAATTAACATGGGAAGCATGACCTTAAGGTCAAAGGATGCTCGCATAGTTTAAATGAAGTCTAGAAAAATGCTATCATAAACATAAAATTAGGTATGATAAACGGTTTGTTGAGCCTCTGTGTGAGAAAGGCAATGATTGCATGTATATGAAGGCGAGTAACCAAGGAAGATAGTATTATTTGATTATAACAATAAATTAAATTAAATGTAAAGGGTGTTTCTAAAACAAAATCAACAGTTTATAATAAAATAGAGGCAGGTAAGATGCAGCGTAGCTCAAACAAAATCAGCGGTTTATAATAAAATAGAGGGAAATGAATGCTGTAGCGATGCAACCCATTGTCAAATTTCGCTTTCAATTTGTTCATCCTTTTCTCTCTCGTGACCTTAACAACTTCGTCCGAGCAAGAGGGAGTAAAATCGGCGGTTCGTCCTTTTTTGCCTCCCTTCTCACCTTTTGATGTATCTGTTTGATTGAGTGCACGGACATGGTAGGACCTTCGAGACCTCAGTTCGTTCTTTTTGGATCTTCCATTACTCAGTTCAGCTTCTCCAATGGCGGTTGGGGTGCTATACTCGCCGATGTTTATGCCCGCAAAGTAACCCATCTTTCTCTTTCGCTTTTCTCTGCTTTCCTTTTCTGCTTTTTTCTTGTTGAAAATGTTTGACCCATCTGCCCATCTTTGAATGCCCTCAACGGAAATTCCTTTTCGTTTTACCTGAAATGAA